AACAGTGCTTGGCACCCACCATGTGATCAGGAGATGCCACTTGGTACTTTGCTCACTTCTCCCTGCAACTCTATAAAACATGTGGTATCCCCATTTCTGAGATAAGGTAGGAGAGGCACAGCGAGGTGAAGTAATTGATCCAAATGTCATAGTGAAGAGATGGTTTCACTGAAATTTGATTCCTATCTGACTCTACAATCTATGCTTTCAACTACCACTCAGTGACATTCAGTGTGTGTGAGAGAGCAAGAGAACATGTGTGTGCATGTGTGTGAATATGATAAAGTATATGGAGATTTACAGATGCATGTCAAGGGCTTAGCATGGCCTGACTACAGCCAGGGATCAGTAAGGGACTGAGAATTACTGTCATTACTGAATTCCAAGTATCACACTGGAAATTATAGAACTTCAGAGGAGCTGGTGAAGGCCAAAGGATCTGAAGAGATGAGAAAAGTGGTAGTCCAATGTCATGACGTGGTCGGGGATGAGGCAAAGCACCAGGGCCCTGAGCGACCTGCTTGCAGCATTCTCTGTGATTCCCAAAGAATGGGAGAAGCCCTTCGAGCCAGCAGAAAGGAAGTGGCTGTGTACATGGCGGATGATCTATTCAGTGGAAAATCCCACAGCCCTTTAAAACGATGATCATCCAATTTAACATGGAAAAATGTCCTTATATAATTACTGCTACAAGAAAAATGCTGGATATAAAACCTCATTTTTTGCTCCACTTGTCCTTCTATTAAAAAAAAAAAAAAAAACACTTCATGGGCCCGGCGCCATGACCTAGTGGCTAAAGTCCTCGTCTTGAAAGCGCCAGGATCCCATATGGGCACCGGTTCTAATCCCAACAGCTCCACTTCCCATCCAGCTCCCTGCTTGTGGCCTGGGAAAGCAGGCGAGGACGGCCCAAAGCCTTGGGACCCTGGACCCGTATGGAAGACCTGGAAGAAGATCTGGGCTCCTGGCTTCAGATCGGCGTAGCACTGGCTGTTGCAGTCACTTGGGGAGTGAATCATCGGACAGAAGATCTTCCTCTTTGTTTCTCCTCCTCTCTGTATATCTGGCTTTGTAATAAGAATAAGTAAATCTTAAAAAAAAAAAAAACCAACCAAACAAACAAACAAACAAAAAAACACTTCATGCCGGGTAGACCAGAGTGTGCAAAGAGTCTATGTATCAAGGGTTTCTCTTTATGTAGCTGGTTTATTGCTGATTCAAGTATAGTTTATGGAGCACTTACGTGCCAGTCATCGTGGTAGACAGGGTTATCAATGTGGATGATACCAGGCTGCAAGGAAGACTCAAAGAGAAAATAGCGTATGTGGCCTCCCAGACCATTGCAAGGACCGACAGTGCAAAGCTAATGAGGTTAATGAGCTAATGAAGTTTCAGGGGGCATAAGGACCCCAGTTATTTGCCCGGTGCTGTGCCACTCCTAGGGGTTGGTCCTTTTCCATGGTCTGACAAGGCAGCCAAGCAGGATGGGACACAAAAACGAGGGCATGCCTTTCTCCAGGAAAGTTGCTCACTCTGCTTCCATTCATGTGCATCTGTCAGGGTGTGGCCACCTTTTCACTTCCAGCCACAAGGCACACTGGCCCATGTCATCCCTGTGGGAGGCCATGAGCTGTTAGTGTAGAAGGGGCAACAATAACAGGAAAGTGGCCAAGGAAGTAAGTTGAGGCCACAGTCCTCGAAGAGCCCACTGTTTAGGGGCCGGTGTCCAAGAGTAAATATGAGATAGTCCGAGTGCTAGTACCCTGGGGACAGCGCGGCCTTAGTAGCTCCAGCTCTCATGCAGTTTACTGCCATCAGGCGTGAGCACCTGCAACCCTGGGTGCTGCATGTGGCACAGGGACTACCTTGACACCTGATTGATATCAGTGGGGACCTGGAGTACTATTGCCCTAATCTGAGACCTTCTAGTGCCTTCAGTTTCCGTGGACCCTACATGGAGGGTGCGGAATGCGCCATTCCAGGACAATGGATCTGCCCTAGGTTATTCAGCTCCTTCGTTTACACATTTCCAAACCACAGTGGCAACCATGTCTTCTTTTTTTTTTTTCCTTTTTTCCATATCATGTCAAGTAGCTACTTGAGACCGAAATCAATCGATTGATTGATCAATCGATGTTGTCGGGAGAGGGTCATATACACTTCAGCTGAGATTCACTTCCAAGCAGGTTCCCTCTGCAGGTGCAGTGAAAAGCCAGAGGGGTTTCAGGAGGCCAGAGAGAGAGAGAGAGCTTTCCAGGAAGGGCAGCAGCAGTGCATAAATCTGGAAGCCTTTCATTTCTGTTAGTGGTTTATTGATCATACAACAGCATGACCACCAAGAAGAGGAATACTTCAGGAGACATGGGAGTGGCAGCTGATGCTGACCTCTGAGTAAAGAGCTCCAGGCCTGCCACCCTGCATGGGCCCAGAGGTATATCAGACCCTGGGTATACCAGGCAACCTCTCTGGACCTACTTCTTCAATTCTAAGAAAACATTAGGAAAGTTTAGGTGAATTAAAACCCACAGCAGTATCTACGGAAACGTTGAGACCCTCAAGCTCTCCAGACTGGGTTCAACCCTAGTGAGGCAAGATGGATCCTTTCTGTACTTGACCTTCTCCTTAACTTCCCACCCTAATCCCCCTGCAGCCCAGGAACAGCTTCCCAAAGCCTGGCCCCTGCCAGTGCATCTTGCGTCTCTCCGCACACCCCTCCACACCAGTGTGACCAGCCCCTCCACTGAGCTCCAGACCGCAGCCACCCTGCTGTTCTTTTTTTACCCTCTCCACCATCTTCTCCACCAGAACAAATCACACCCAGTCAGGAAAGTTCTCAAACCATAGGCTTCCCACGGGGATGCAACGTGATGCTTTAGAAAAGGTAAAAGTTCAGTGATGGCCCAGCTGCTTAGGGTGGAGGAGTAAGGGGCGGACCTCACAGGGGGTGCCAGGGCAGGAATGCTCTTCTGACTGATATGCAGTGGAGGCTGTGTGGTGTGCATCGGTCATGGATGATGCCAGGAGTGACCCCAACTATAAACCACACACTTCAGTGAATAATACTTCTAACAAGTGCACCACAAGAACACAAGGTTCTAATAATAGGGGAGTGTGTGTGTGTGTGTTTAGCTGCTTGGGTGATAGGGTCAGAGGTAACTCATTGTATTTTCCACTAAAATTTTCTGTAAATCTAAAACTATTTCCCATTGCACCTTGGGAAGAAGCTCCTGGCTTTGGATCAGCCTAGCTCCAGCCATTGCAGCTACTTGGGGAGTGACCAGCGGATGGAAGATCTTTCTGTTTCTCCTTCATTCTGTACATCTGACTTTCCAATACAAATAAATCTTAAAAAATAAAATAATGATCTTGCCCAAATTTCCTATGATCCTCAACCCTTCCCACCCTAGTCAACTATGTAAACATCATCAAAAATAAAGTTTAAAAGATTTATTTTTATTGAAAGGCAGATTTACAGAGAGAAGGAGAGACAGAAAAAGATCTTCCATCAGCTGGAGCTGAGTCAATTCAAAGTTAGAAGCCAGAAGCTTTTTCCAGGTCTTCCAGATGGGTACAAGAACCTGTTATCAGAAAAGCTTTGTGGGTTCTTTGCTCAGCTTAGCACAGAAATAAAAAGCTGGCAATCAGTTGCAGACAGAGAAACTTTGTTTGTAAAGTGACCAGGTGAACTTGGAAAGAAGGGAAGGGAGAGCACTTCCCTGGGGAAGGCTAGGAGATGGGATGCCTCCTGAAAGGAGAGAGGTAGAGACAGCACAGATTTTCTTTTCTTTTTTTTTATTTTTATATCAAATTTTTAAAAGCATTCAAAAAAATTCACATTTTCTAGTTGTCAACATATCTGTGTGGTAGAAGATACAATATATTTTACAAAAAAAAAAATCAAATTATTGCAACTTTTACAATCAAACAAAAGCAATTTACAAATTCAGTGATTAATGCTGTTGCTTGGATATGCCTTACTCTTACTCTACAATTTACTAAACTGCTTGAAATACAATTTAATACTTTGCAAAGACTGTAGCTGAATTATGAAAAAATATTTAAAGAGCATTACTTCTCTGGGTAGACATATTTCCTACCAGTATGCAATTAATACTAAAAAGAAATCACTTCATAGTTTTTTTTATCATAATTTATGACTGATTCATAAACTACAATGTTTAGCAATTTAGATGGCATAATGACCAATGAAAGGAATAATCTGCTCATTGCACAATTCGGTCCAATAGTAATACTAAATAAGAGCTGGATACATATTCCACTTAGTTGGGTTACATGTTTTCATCTGTGGGACTGAGTAACAAAGAAGAGGCACCAAGTACCAAGCTTTGACTTGTCCTGTTTGTTTTTAAGAGCAGCTGGATGATTTGAAGATGGGTATAATACAGAGGACAAAGAGAAAACACACAAAATGGCACTTACCACCAACGCCAGTACTCAGCTCATTACGTTTATATCTAAGGATATTAGTACTTTTTGTGTTACTTGCTTTCTTTAGCACATAAACCAAAGCCATTAACTTGAGGTATATATACAATACATACACAAACTTACACAAAAATACTTTTCATAAGTAATGTTACATTTTAAAATATTGGAAACCAAGTTTCTGTGCTGATTTGTATTTTGACTTAAATGGAACAAGAAGATAACAACATTCAAAGAGGGAGGGTTATACTGATACCAAAGCTCTTAAATGTTCACAATGCATTCCGCTCCCTTTATACTTACCACAGACTACACACTGTCCTGAGAGGATTCATTATGAGAAAAATGTCAATCACAGCTTTAATAACTTACTTTGGAAGGAATAACAGGAAGTAAATTGGGAGGTGAGACTTCATCTTTGTTTTCAAATAAATGGTCTTAATTTTTCTTCTTACAGAAAAAGTTTAAATCAGTTTATTATAAATAAACCATTTATTATAACCAGTTTATTATAGCTAAACCATTAATTTTTGCAGCTTTCCGGTAAAGTCCAGCACATTTACACAAAGTCTATCAGAAGGAGATCAGTAGAGATCATCTAATCTTAAGTCGTGACATCATCCACTCAAGTCCTTGACATAATCCTTCTCCAGAGCACAGCATGCCTGGATATGCCACTGGTGATCTTTGATAGATGTTAGTTTCAGAAACTGAGAGATTTCTGCTACAGTCATGCATTCTTTGACATCTTGTTTATTAGCAAAAATCAGCAATCCAGTTTTCCTTAGGTCCTCATGGGCTAATATTTTATAGAGTTCTTCTCTAGTTACAGATACCCTCTCTCTGTCTGTACTGTCCACAACAACTATTACAAACTCTGTGTTAGTGTAGTAGGTGTTCCAGGAAGAACGAGGAGACTCTTGGCCACCAACATCCCACATTAGGAAACGCGTATTATTCATCACTATCTCTTCTACATTGCTTCCTATTGTAGGGAATGTGTGTACAACTTCATTCATAGAAAATTGATAAAGGATGGTAGTTTTCCCTGCATTATCCAGCCCAACAATCATAACTTTGTGCTCCTGGTGATTGAACAGTCTCCATATCCTGGTGAAGAGAATTCCCATTCTCAGGCAGCGGACCCTCTCCAGCCGCACCAGGGCCGCCTGGCCTCCCCGGGTTCAGGCTGAGAGGCAGAGAGAAGCACCAGAGCCTCCGCCTCTCCTGCTGCTGCTGCCGCGGCACTCGCCTGGCTCGCAGACATCGCCGCCGCGTGAGACACCACAGATTTTCAGAAGCATAATGTGACCCCTTTTTGTCTCAGCACGACCATGTAGAGAAGACATTCCCCATTGGTGGTTTCTCAAACAGTTAGAAAATGTCTTGGTAATTTTTGTGCCACCCACTTGAAGATGTGACCAAGATTTTAACAGACTTGGATGCTCTCAGAACCCAAGGATTTAAGCCATCCTCTGCTATTTTCCCAGGCCACAAGCAAGGAGCTGAATAGGAAATGGAGCAGCCTAAACTACAGTAGGTGCCTTTGTGGTATGCCAGTGCCATCGATGGAGGATCGGCATGATAGATCACCACTCTGCTTCCCTCTTACTGTAAGGAATCAGATGGGCTAATAGGTAGTAAGGGATTCTGGTCCCTGGTGGAATTTCTCTTTGAAAATGCAGCCTTGGGCCTGGTGGCATGGCCTAGCAGCTAAAGTCCTTACCTTGAACACACCGGGATCCCATATGGGCGCCGGTTCTAATCCCAGCAGCTCCACTTCCCATCCAGCTCCCTGCTTGTGGCCTGGGAGAACAGTCCAGGATGGCCCAGGATGGCTCCGGATTGGCACAGCACTGGCCGTTGCGCTCACTTTGGGAGTGAATCATCAGATGGAAGATCTTCCTCTATCTCTCCTCCTCTCTGTATTTCTGACTTTGTAATAAAAATAAATAAACCTTTAAAAAAGAAAATGCAGCCTTGGGCCTGACACTGTGGCCCAGTAGCTAAATCTTCACCTTGAATGTGCTGGGATCCTATATGGGCACCAGTTTGTGTCCTGGCTGCACTACTTCCCATCCAGCTTCTTGCTTATGGCCTAGGAAAGCAGTAGGGGATGGTCCAAGGCCTTGGAATCCTGTACTCATGTGAAACTTGGAAGAAGCTCTTGGTTTTGGATAAACTCATCTCTGGCCAAAGAAAATCCACTGGGCATTGGGTAGAACCTTATCAGAATATGACTTCCACTTCTCTGAATTCTAGTTATTGTAAGAATGGGAGGAGATGGTTGCCAGTCACACCCTTCCTAATGTTTTTTTTTTTTATTTAGCTAGAACAAGCTAGAAAGGATTACAATTGTGGCCTTCTACTGGGCACGTCCCTGCGCTTTTGTTGATTGTTAGCCATTGCTTGGCTCACCTAAATTCTGCTTAAAGATACTGCTTCCACCATTTTGTTGGGTCTTTCCTCCATTGGGATGACTTCCTATCACTATGGTAGGAGAAATTATACACGTGAGATTCTTCTTTTGTGTGTGATGAGCATCGAGGTTGCTGCTATATTTTGCACTGAATTCTCTACAACATTAGGACCAGTCTGTACCAGATTCTGGATCCTTGGTCCTGGGTGAGCCGTAATTTGTGGCCCTTGGGATTTCATTTGTCAAATACGGAGAAGTTTATACTGACCCTCCAGAACATGGTTAAGAGTATGAGTTAAAAGGTCAGATTGCCTGAAAATTCCATCTGGGTCTGCCATGTGAGTAGTAAGGGTCCGAGCAATTGGATCATCCTCTACTGCTTTTACAGGTGCGTTAGCAGAAAGCTGGATCAAAAGTGGAGCAGCCAGGACTTGAACAAATGCTCCATATAGGATGCAGGCATTGCAAACTGTGCCATGATGCCAGCCCTACATTTGTGTCCTAAAATGATCATTCCAAGGATAGATGGAAGACATCAGTGGGAGATTTGTGCAAGGGAGAGAAGATGGAGGCTTGGTCCAGAGCTGAGCTGTGGCAAGGGAAAAAGGTATGCATATGAGGAACAGTTAGAAGACCAAAGAAGCTGCAGGGAGGAGTGTCCAGGGCAATGGGTGATGACAGGAAGTAGGGAGTACTGAAGACAAGCCTGCTCCCGTGGTCTGCACTGCTGAGACCTTGAAGATGAAGTTACAGTCATGCAACGGGGTAGAAGCACTTGGTTTGGCTTGTGCTGAGTTTGAGATTTGCTGATGGGGTTAATGCTTTGGGTGTCGTGAAAATAATACCTTTAGTCAAATCATGCTATATTAAGACACAGAAGTAGGTGAAGTAATTATAGACTCAAGGGAGACTTGCAATTGGCAAGAGCTGCCTTGTTCATTATGCCTACAGAATCTGGTTCCATTCCTTTTTGTTATGGGGTTACAACCATAAGGTTTTTGTACAGAGGAGGCATGACTGAAGGGTCTAGCAGGAGTAGGGAAAGGTTAAACCACAGCCTAACTTTCCCTAGTCTTGGAAACAAGTGGTGCATCTGGGCAGAAATCACAGGGCAGACATTCATTCACTCAACAAATACTTGTCTATAGATACTGGTGTTTCTCTCTCTCTCTCTCTCTCTCTCTCTCTCTCTGTGTGTGTGTGTGTACAAGCACACACATGCGTGTGTTCTGGGGCTTGGGAATACACAGTGATTTAAAAATTCCTTACTGTTTCATTGAGGGGACAGACAACAGACACATCGGCATATAATTTACCATCCCATGATCTGAGGGGCAAGAAAGTAAATCAAGGACTGGAAAATGGTGTGGCCACGCCTCTCCGAAGGAGAAAACTTTACACTTCAATAAAGCCACAAAGACAAGCCAGACCCCTGACCTGGAAATGCATGTAAATCACCTTCCCATTTTTTGTTATTTTTAGATTGTAGATTAGAGTGAAATTCCATTTTAGAGTGCGTGAATTTGATACCCGGCTCTGGCTCCTGCTCAGCTTCAGGTTAATGCAGATCCTGGGAGGAGGCCGTGAGGGATCAGCTAATCAGGTCTCTGTCCCCAACTCGGGGGATCTGGGTTGCATTCTCAACTCCCAACTCTGACCCTAAGCCACCCCTGGATTTTGTGAACATTTGAGGAGTGACCAAGCAGATGGGAGCTTGCTCGCTCTCTGTCTCACCCTCTGGCTCTGAAATAAACCTAAACTTTGCATGAAATGACTGACACAAAATAGTTAAAACCCAACAGAGGATGAAAGAAAAGCCATAAAAAATGCAAAATGAAATCAATACAAATCAATAGAAAATCAATAGACGCAAATGGCAATAAAATCACTTCAAATTATTCCAAAAGCAGTGACTCACGAGGTCAAATGGATACACATGAAAAACACACTTGAAGAGACTCCTGGAGGAGTCGTTGGTAGATGATTAATGAAGAGTAGATCACAAAGACACACTAAGAAAAAGATTCAAATTTTTTGCTGATTGGACGCAAGTCGCCGAAATAAGAAAGCTTAAATTTATAACGTGCTACTTCAAAAGCACATTGCTGACTAAGTGGATAATGAGTAGCAATTAAAAAGGATTTAGGATTAGTCATTGCACAAGAAAACTTAAAATGTCCTGAAAGAAAGGGAGGTTTCCACAAGTTCGACAACAATCCTAATAACACAGGCAAGACCAAGAGCAAGTGTGAAGCTGGAAGAAGCTTCTTTTTTGTTGTTGTTGCTATTGTTTTAAGATGTATTCATTCATTCATTTATTTGAAGCAGAAAGGGAGAGATCTTTCACCCACTGGAATACTCTGCAAATGGCCTCAATGACTAAGACCAGGAGCCAGGAGCTTCTTCCAGGTCTCCCATATGGGTGTAACAACTCAAACACTTGGGCCATCCTCTGCAGCTTTCCCAGGTCCATTAGCAGGGAGCTGTATAGGAAGTGGAACAGTTGGAACTCGAATCCACATTGGATGCTGGCACTGCAGACAGAGGCTTGACTTGCAGTGACAACCCTGGAAGAAACTTCTAAATGATCAAAAAAAAAAAAAGTAACATCGGGCACCCCTTTGAAGGGCTGCATTTCCCACCGGTGAACATGAGAACTAGGGCTGGGGGTGGGCCTGGCTGAACAGGCAATGATGCAGGCTGGATGGTGGGGTTGATCTGGCTGAGCTAACCTACAACATTCACTGATGTGTATGAAAGTCAAATGGGATGCGGGACAGACCAGATCAGTCTGCTGCACACACTGGTACACACAAGAACCAGGACGGGGGGCAGACCTGTGGGGGCTATCGGGGGTCACCCACACTGGATTGCAGTTCCCACTGGTGTGAGTGAGGGCCAAGGGTGTGGTGGGCAGGGTTAGGCTGGGCCACAGCATCCATTGGTTTGAGTCTGAAATGGGGCTAGGGACAGACTGTAACCACCAAGGTGTGTGTAGGCAAGCACGAATAACTAACTGAGCCAGACCCTGTAATGGCTGTCACACAGATCCAGTCACAGGGAAAATCACAGGTTCTGTGGTCTGAGCATGGAGTGCATGTGTCGGAACAGGGTCTCCTCAGATGCTGAAACCTGTGCAGTGGACGGCATGCCCAGATACACATGAGGGACATGACAGATTGTTGAGGACTGAAGGCACGTCTAATACCATGGAGGGCAGAACAAAATGAACAACACTCCTGGCCGAGCTTTGAAAGCAGGTATCAAGGTGATACCACCGATCTTGGGGTGGACTATGTCAGCCAATGGAATTTGGAGGGATTTGGAGAAACGAAATCAATAGCATCTCAGAACTACAAACAATACCCTTGGGAAAATGGTCCACATCAAGGACCTTAGGATAACATCAAGTGGCCATCCTATACTCTTGAGTACTGATGGTAGTTAGGCTTCTGGGAGCAGCCCTTTCCCTTTCTCCCCATTCCCCCTAGATGTAGGAAAAAAAGAAAAGATTGGAAACAATTGTTTCATCCACTTCCCCCATTCCTTGACTCTTCCCCTAATCAATGGTCCACATGTGCATGCATCCTTCTCAACTATGTAAATGTTATCAAAAATAAAATAAATCTATCATGAAAAAAAAAGTGTTTCTCAATAATCTAGGCCAGGGGGAAGGCTGTGGGGCTTCTTTGTTCATCCTATTGAAACACAAAATTACAAACCTATTACCATGGGTGTAAAGGCAACCAACGACAGCA